TCCGAATACAATATTGGTTTTCAGGATTATCGATTACTTTTATTGATTTTATCGATTTTTTGCAAAGTTTGAGCTACGGGGCTGGGAGTTCGCACAGGGGGGTAATCGAGCATGGGGATTCCGAATACAATATTGGTTTTCGGGATTATCGATTACTTTTATCGATTTTATCGATTTTTTGCAAAGTTTGAGCTAGGGGGCTGGGAGTTGGCACAGGGGGGTAATCGAGCATGCTGATCATCCCCAAGGGGGGTGATCAGCATGCTCGATTACACCCCTGTGCCAAATTCCAGCCCCCTAGCTCAAATTTTCAAAAAATCGATAAAATCGATAAAAGTAATGGACGATCTTGAAAACTAATATTGTATTCGTAATCTGCATGCTCGATTACCCCCTGTGCAAACTCCCAGCCCCGCAGGTCAAACTTTACAAAAAAATCGATAAAATCGATAAAAGTAATGGACGATCCTGAAAACTAATATTGTGTTCGTAATCAGCATGCTCGATTACCCCCCTGTGCAAAATCCCAGCCTCGCATGTCAAAATTTACAAAAAATCGAGAAAATCAACAAAAGTAACCGATAATTCTGAAAACTAATATTGTATTCGGAATCCCCATGCTCACTTCCCCCCTGTGCCAACTCCTAGCCCTGTAGGTGAACTCTGCGAAAAAATCGATAAAAATCGGTAAAATCGACATCGGTCGATAACGAAAAGTGGACTGTGACACCCGCCGGAGCCCGAAGTGTATGTGTGCCAAGTTTGGTCCGGATACGGCGGAGCCGGGTAAGCCAGCTAGTTGATTATAAAAAAACAAGACCTTGTTCTTGTCCCTGTAGGTAAAATCTCCTCCAATCGTGTAATCCGGCCAAGCTGTCTGCTAAATTTGCATGCGCGTAGAGCTATTAATTTGCATGAATGAAAAAAAATGAGCATCGGGTTCGTGATCAGCGTGCCAAGAAACCCCACAATACCAATTTTCCGCGATTTAGTAATTTTCGCCCAACTACCGTATAGCTACCGTAATCCCAATTCGTGGTCCTGTAGCGAAAAATAGATATCATAATCGTGATCAGCGTGCCAAAAAACCCCATTGTACCAAGTTTCAAGCAATTTCGTGACTTTCGCCCAACTACCGTATCCCTACCGTAACCCCCTTATGTGGGCGAATGGCGAAAAATGAGCATCGGATTCGTGATCAGCGCGTCCGATAACCCCCGGAACCAAAATTTTACAAAATTTCAAATTTTTGTGTTCAACGGTGCACCATGACCCCCATCATGCTTCATGAAACTCGGAGCAAAATCTACCCCGGAGCACTTTTTTCTGGACCTCTGCGTTTACGCACTATTTCCATTTCTCTAACCAAACTCAGAGTTAACTCCAAGTTTCGCGGCGGCTGAAACGCGCAGCAAACTCAGAGTTAACGCGCAGCTGAGCTGCGCGTTTCGTCGCGTAGCTTCTCGCGTGGAACGAGTTACGCTACGTTTCCATACTTGGCATAAAGTACGTCTTGCGGGATATCCTGCCATATAAGCCTTTCCCCCAATTTGGTTTGCTTATGCAGGTGTTAATGGTCCTTGAAAGGTGCGTGTTAACTCAGAGTTAATTCAGAGTTAACCCTGAGTTTGAACTGCGCGTTTCGACAGGTTTACTACCGGCCCAGGTCGTGAACTTGGCGTACTCGAGCTCTAGTCTCGTGCCATTTTTCTGCGTCTCTTACCATTGCCCACTATCTGAGGAGGAAAGTCGAGCTCGTGTACGAGCTCATGAGATATGTCGTGTCTAAGATCACGAGCTTTAGCTCGTGCTTAGTTCACGAACTGTTCTTGACGTGATTCGACGAGTGTGTTGAAAGATAGCCGGTGAACTGATCAATGCATTGAGGAATGAAACTAAGCTCGAGCTTATCTCGCGACCTCGTACGTTACGACATAGGGGGATTACTACAGGCCCAGATGTCATTACATTATGTAGACTGCATGTTATTGCTAGGAAACGAAGAAGTCATCTCAGTTCTTTTTAATCCAATTTCTTGAATCAATCAACTCAGTGTGGTTACATTAGATCATTCATAAGTTCGTAGCGTTCTCACAAAATGTTTGTAAAATGTCAATAAAATGTTTGTTAGAATTCAGCCATTAATGTATGTTCTGTTATTGCACACAATTTCCTACCACATTGTAGTAAGATTTTTGACTCCGTTTCTCCAAACCTTCGCAAAACCGTCTTAAAGTCGCCTAACCAGCACACCGGAGATCGTCTTCAGAATCGGGACAAGCACTGTTCATATTGTTCGCAAGAGGGACAAATGTACATCCAGTCTAGCGAGGTCTGAGCAGTACATTGGCCACTAATGTATTTCCCGTTGAATGCAGTGTCCGGCCAAATAGTCGATTCCGAGATTTTGTGTTATCTGGGCCTATCCACTACGCAGAATCCGAAAATGCACACCGTAGAGCGCGAAAATAGTGAAAAAGAATCCTAACACAGGAGGGAAATTAAGCAATGGGCGGGACTTTTCTCCTTGTGAAGTCACAAGGAGAAAAAGCTTAAACGGGCCTATTCGCCATGCTGAATCCGAAAATCCACGTTGAAAAGCGCGAAAACGGCGAAAACGGTCGCTAACGCAAGAGGGAAACAGCAAGTGGGCGGAGTCTTCCCCACTATGAATTCACGCTCCCAGTTCAGGAGCGATCCTCGGCTCCGCTAGTCGCCTTAACACATTCACGGCACGGCCATTTTCGATTTCTGCCGTTTCGGATATACGACTCACTGGTATCAACTTTCTCGTGTCTTTTTCTCGATTGCCAATGGGTCGTATGGTCCGAAATGTGGTCTCCTAATTAGGCTTCCCCTAGATCTCTCCAAACATATGCGGACATCCCATTTACTTCCATCGTAAATCTGCAGTGCCTAGTAGTACGAACCCAGAGGTGGGTTGTACGTCCGAAATGGCAGTACACGTACGACCCACCGGTGGGTTGTATTGTCGTGAATGTGTTAAAGGCAGTGTCCGGGCAAAAACTCGATTTTGAGATTTTATGCTTAAACGGGCCTATTCGCCATGCTGAATCCGAAAATTCACGTTGGAAAGCGCGAAAACGGCTAAAACGGTCGCTAACGCAGGAGGGAAACAGCAGGTGGGCGGAGTCTTCCCCACTGTGAATTCACGCTCCCAGCTTACGGAGCGGTCTTCTCGATTTCGCTAGCAGTCCTAAGATCACTACCGGCAAGCGCGAATGATTGAATTGAAAGCGGAAGCGAAAAGATCGCTCCGAAGCTGGAAGCGTGAATTCACACTGAGGAGGACCCCGCCCCCCTACTGATTTCCATCCTGTGTTAGAGTCGTTTTTCGCCGTTTTCGCACTCTCCAATGTGCATTTTCAGATTCAGCGTAGCGAATAGGTCCGGGTAAGCATAAAATAACAGAGTCGAGTTTTTGCCCGGACACTGCCTTTAACATTGCCACCGATCAAGTGCGAAAGCGTGACGTGACTTGGAATCGGAATCGGGAAGATCGCTCCTGAAGCTGGGAAAGTGACTTCACAAAGAGGGGAGCCTGTCGCAGATTGCTCGACTCTTCAAGGAGTGCGCTGCTCGTGCGCGAATGGTTTCCAAAACGCCAGCACTCGCGCGCTGCCCCGCCCTCTTGCTCGCATACATATACCGCAGCTTTCTTTAAAAAGTCACGTACGTCATAGGTGTCTACTCGCGAGCGGTCGGCTTCAATTCACTTCCACCTATTGACGAACAAGCAGCGCCGTTTCCTCAACTCACGCGAAGAACACCACCACGGATGGAGGACTGGCCCGTCGCCTCGCGGTAACGCGGATGTGTGCTTCTTGCTTGCCACACAGCAGACGAGCACCCTGGCGGGTTTTCTTCCTACCGGCCCCTAGGTAACATCTTAGCTGGCGTGCCGTCAGACCATTGTATTGATTTGTTTGGCTTTGACTAGAGTGTTGGGCTATGAGCTAAGGCCTTAGCCCCAGGAATATCGGTATGCTTAATGTGTTCATTGTGTACTTCGTGTCCAGTAGGATTCAATCGGCAAGGAGGACCAGCACGATCCTAGACAGTGCCTAAGTTACTAGATACACAACTATCGATGATGTGTGTAACGGCTTGAGAAAGCTGGCAGTTGAGATTAAGGGTAGATTGGTAGCCTAAGGCCTCTAACTAGCCTTTGTATCCATGTTGTGGTAGGTCATAAGAGCGTGGCGCAAGCTAGCTACCTTTCTCCGCGTGTCGTTACTTCATCTCTTGGGTGGAGTCCTCAGCTCCTGTCGCCGATGCAGGAGAACACCTTACCACTGACGTCTGAGGATGGGAACCCCAATCCGCGACAGAGCAGCGCCCACCAGCTGATTTCCCTCCTGCGTTAGAGCCCTTTGCACTATTTCCCGCTCTGCAATATGGTGACGAGGGATTTCACTTCTCATACCATCTAATCTGGGATGTAACGACCCAGCTTGTCGAATAAGCTTCCGTTCGTTTATTTCAATCCTTTTTTTGGTGTTTTGCTCTGTATAAAAACGGGTCGATATGTGCCAGAAACAGTGGAACAAATGCTGTGTTTAGGGTTGTCTGAAACAACAGTTTTTGAAACAGTAGGAAGAGGCAATTTACAGTTGTTTGTTTTCAAATAACTTTAAAGAGTACATCACAGTGCTTCAAGTCTTTATTTTCAAGACAAAAATCAAATAAAGGCTACTGCAAGACAAAGGCGTAGAAGCGGTATTAGTTGAACGGGCGCGAACAAGGTGCGCGCGTATCCTCGCTGTTGTAAATTCTGCGTCTCATGCGCTCTGCGGCTAATAAAACCGCGTTCGCGCCTAAAGATATAGCGCCTTCGTCATGCAGCCTATCCTTCTAGAAATATGACTACAAAAAATGTATTTTGAGATCAAGAACATTGAAGATCAACGACAGATACAATCTAATGACATTCATAATGGTTACATGGCACAACCTCGTGCAAGCAAAAATGTGCTAAATCAATGAAAAAAATCACATTGAGGGGATCAATTTTTGAGCTTTGCCAGTAGATTAAGGTACTGTGGGCTTTGCAGGAAACGCACATATGGATCGTTGCGAAGAACCTGTAAAAACTCATAAATATAATATTACAGAGCAGATTAGAGAATCTCTAACAATAAGAGTGAAGGTTTTTGGCCTCACCTGTTCCACATGCTTGATAGCCTCATCAAAGAGCGAAATATCAACATCTTTTTCTTGGATCTTTTTCTCTATCACTTGTCGCACACCAAATGGAAGAAATACCTGCAAGTACCTTTTTAAAAACTCAACAATTGCCGAACAATTACCCAGGAACTTCAACGTTTTTTGGCTGGCAAAGAACCGTAATCGGCTTTTAAAATCATAAATCTTTTTATCGTCAAACAGTGGAACTGGATTGTTTTCATTCATAGACGTTGTCTTATTTCCGTTATCCTACGGTAGCCTTCATGTAATTAAAAAATCTCATTAAAATTTTGTAATGGAAGGTTACACGTACATATCAAATCTACGACCGGATTCGGACCGGCCGAATGACTAAAAACTGCGTATTTTAGCGGAGTCCTGATTTTTGACAAAGCATTCTCCAAGATTCTCTTACCTCATTATTGGCGCCTTCTGCTAGAAAAGTATTCAGACAAGTTTTACCAGCAGTCAATTGTGCTGGGCTCTTGTTCTTCTGTCCACGGAATTCCACTACGGCTTCCCAAAATCGCAAATTTTCTTCGGCGTGGATGCCACGCAGGAAAAGGCGGAAGTGATGACGGCCGACCTGAACACGGAACTAATTGCCGAAGTCATTCAAAAGTAAGAGCATTTGAAAGTAAGCACATCCGTGATTGCAGGTTCGTTTGTCCGAATTATCCATTTATTCAAAGTTAGAAATTTCCACATGAAATCTCATTTCTCCTTAGGCAAACTTTGTAAGTACCTAAGTGTCTATCTGTTTCGCAGCATCAGATCCTTAGCAAAACGACCCTTTTATACCGTTACAGTATCTAAGGGTAAGCTCTAAGGGCTAACTGGATTGCGCTGTAAACTCTCGGGTGCAGTTTCAGGAATAAGTTCTCGAAAAAAATTACTGCAGAATTAGCACCGAAGCAAAAAGCATGAAGCACATGGGTGCAAAAGGGTCAAGGGCCTCAGAGAGGGACGAATATAGAATTTTACATCTCATATCCGAACTCACATGATTTCCTAGCAGAGCTTCAAAACTGGTGGCCCATCTTTCCGCATAAGCTCTGGGTAGCAGCTCTTCTAGATAATTCAAATAAATCTCTGAACGACGAAAACGAGGGAATTGATCGTTTTCCAGGAGCCGCTTCACCTAAAAGAAGCAATTGACTTAATACACTAAATTCTTAGATTATTATCGGTGAACAGAAGAATGCAAATACCTCCTTCACAGCCGCAGCAAAGCCTTCGGCATCAACATTTTCGGATTCTACAGCGTCTTTCAGCGACTGTAAAATTTTTATTTTCTATTGAGTTCGTAAAAATAGAAACAAAGCACCTTCATTGCGCCGCTGCTCAGGTTAATATAAGGTGAGTAGAGCTGTACAATCTCCTTGGCGTATGTCTGAATTCACATAGACTATGGCCATTTATGCAAGTAGAGGAGGAGTTCCTCGATTGTATCCGAGTATCTATGCGCAACAGATGTTTACCTTCTTTTCATCGGTATTTTTCATTTTCTTCAGCTTATCCACAGCTTCCACGAACGAAAGATTCTCTTCAGCTAACGCTTCGTATAGGAAACAGCGGAAAAGTTGGCACCCTGAATTTACATATATATTGTTGATTTCTACAACAATTAATTGATGCCACCTTTCTCGTCTTTTAGCACAGCTGCACATGAGCCCGATGCCCAACTAGCCGCTCTTGGATACTCCACACCGACTGTGTCGGGCATTGGAGGAGGCTGACGATCAGTCTTGGCGGTGGGATCAAACATCGACATGTTCTAAAATAAATGGCCAGCTGCATTTAGCTCAAAATTTTTCGATTTCTTGAATGCTCTTCTTACGACCCCATTGGTGTTGCATTTCACATTCTTGAAGAAATCATCAATTTACCCTCTCATTATCATGTCTAACTCTTCACAATTTTGAGTTCACTTATCAGCATTTATTCCGAAAAAATACATTTTAGCAGGCTATGGCTCTACATTTTCTGCAGTCAGCGATGTCCACTCATCATTATTTCCAGTCGAGATGATGCAATATCTGATGTAATGGGGGTAATGAGGTAGCGTAATGGACGCCTAGGTGCGCGTGGACTAGCCATTTCGACTAGGTACTACCTCCAATGCGGACTACTCGGAAGTAGTGATAATTCCTGGTGATGTTAATCCACTATGATAGTACATCATGCTCCGTTATTTTCTACGCTACTGCAAATGACTCATTTCTAGAGGCGTAAGGTCAAAGCTCTTGGTGAAGAATGAGAATTTTGCAAATTTTCGGAAGTATCTAACAACTTGCACTGTGTTATTTTGTTACACTAGCGAATTTTTTCTATGCATTAGGTTGAAAATATGAGACGAAACAGTGTCACTATACTGCAGTTGACGTAGATTTTTTGCCTTGGCGTTCTTTGAACACCATTCTTAGAAATCCGGCCAGCAGATAGCAAGTCCTACTTAATTGTACCGTATGACTTGAGATTTGTGTTTGAGTTTCTGGCGTTGAGTTTTTTTATGGCGTCGAGTGCCTAAAATATCGACTAAAATAAATAGGATAAATAATTACTTTCTATGAAAAGTAAATTGACATTGGAAGAGTTCAAGTTGGGAGCGTCTTATATGTAAGAAGGAATAAGCTTATACTTGGTTGTCCCATAGGTCTTTTCATACCTGACTTTTTAACGACATAAATCAGTTCTTCTTGTAATCCTTATGCAATGCGGGCAACGACTCGACAGATCAAAGCAAGCTCTACAAGATGGCGCTCATAAGTTCGCGCCAAGCTTAATCTGCAACAAGTTTCAAGCCAAAATAAATAAAAAATGTGAATTTTCGAAAAAACGAAAATCAACATATCTCAGTTCAAAGCAACTCTGCAAATTTTCCACTTTCTCATACATATACTCCCCTCATCGGATATTTATGCATGCACTTGCTGCATTTCTCTAATGGCTAGAAACTAAGAAAAAATAATGCCCTCGGTTTTCAAACTTTGCCTGTATCAGTTCGATGTTCCCCGCATATAGGTTTATATAGCCTATTCACTCAGAACTACTGCTACAAATTTGCAGCTTATTAGGTGCCCTAGTTGTTGAGAAATATCGGATGGAAAGTCCGAATATGAAAAGACTTATGGGACAACCTAATAGTAATGTAATGTATTTGATAGGTGATTTTATTTTTTCTATTTCTTTTGTAGTTTATGGTTATTTTTTCTATTTCTTTTGCAATTTATGGAGTAGACAGATAATGTAACTTGCTCGGAACTGAAATCAATTTGTTATTGGAAAATTGACTTCCGAGCAATTAGAAGTATTAACCATTACAGTTGTTTAGACTCCTTATAACCCTTTCATCAAGAAGAAGCCATCAATTCTTTCAAAATTGGTCTTCTCTTCCCCAAACTATCTATATAGCTCACCTTCATAGATTGTTGAAATCCGTTCATTTTTTCTATTCTTTTAGGTCTGAAATCCTCTTGGAAGTCACTGGAAAATGGAATAGAGCAGAAACTAGCCCATTTTGGGAACCAGAAGGGTTTACGAAAATAACAAGACATTGAAGCTGTATTGGATAAGGAGAAATTCGGCAATTTTGAAGAAAACTATTGGAGGAAAGCAAGCTAAGAGTTCAGTGGCTGACAACTAATGCATTCTATACAAATGTTAATCTTATGCCATTATACAGAGTGTCCCAAAAAGATGTGCACACTGTTTGATCGTTAATAACTCTCTTGCTTTCATGTCTTTTGCCGAGCTTGAGGTACCATTCTATAGAGCGAGGATAAACTTAGATTTACAGTATGGAGCGAATCACCAATCACTCTTCATTACTGTAGGATCACGGTAAGAACTCTCAGCATACAGCGTCACTGTGGAATAAGCCTTTTGATGATATAACTTCAAAAAAATCTAAAAAATTGTGTAACAAGGTTTTCAGGCGTTCTGATTCTACTACATAACTTTCCACCAGTTTTTCAAGCTTTCTTGATGGCGTATTCACATTTCTAACAAATATTGGAAAATCAGTTGTTACCCTAAATCTGATATAACTCATGAAAGAAACAGTGTACTGACGTGCAATTTTCATGTTTAGAATTAGCAACTTCGACTGACCCAGTTCATGAGTTTCTGGTTTGTTTGGCTTTTTTTCTGAGGCAAAAAAACTGCTTCCAATGGTTCAAAATCCTTTCCGAAGTTCCTACCGTAATCCTACAGTAATGAAGAGCTGCTTATCAATCGCTCCATACCGTAAATCTAAGTTGAACCTCGCTCTAAGGAATGGTACCGCAAGCTTGGCAAAAGACATGAAAGCAAGAGAGTTATTAACAATCAAACAGTGTGCACATCTTTTTGGGACACCCTGTATTCTATAGATTGTGCGAAAAGAACACACGCCACTGATCGCTGAGAATTCACACTGATACTGAAAAAACTCGTCAAAGGTTGCTTAGCAGAAAACACATGACCGTAAAAAAACCAAAAAGCGATGTCATGTTATTTATGAATTTATCCATGAAAAAGATCAGTCAGCTGAGAGCTTGTAGGCGTTATCGTAATGACAGCAAGTTGCTAATAACGCAGAGGCCGAGCCGAGTAGAGCCACGATGCTTTGAATAGAGTTAATTCAGTGGCAACGCTGACATATCAGGTACGAGCAGAAGCGATAATAACTGCGACGAGAGCGAGTAATCCGTGTGCATTGATTTCGCCTTGTTTGAGATTGTAGCCTGATACGGCAAGCGGGTAATCACGCACGCAAGCCCCATATAAATTCAAAGATTTCGAAGCCTTGGTCAGAAAAATTAGAAGTCGGAATAAATCTTCTTTTGAAGCAATAATTCGGGCTGTAGAAGTTTTCTGCTGGTAGTATCTCTCACATCATTGTGTAATTAGAAGACTTTGCAAACAAGCTTTTGCATCAGTAGTCAATTACCTATATACCAAGGAAATGGCATTCTTAGTAGCACTATTGGAATAGTGCCCTTTTTTAAGAGAAAAAAGAACGACTTTTCACAAAGCTTTGGGGAACCACTACATAAGTTTCGTAACTTTTTTTTCAAGTAACCTAAAATGAGGAACCTGGAAAGTTTGTCAAGAAGCTCAGTTGATCAGGTTGCAGTTGATTAATTCTATAGATGTACCAAGCGTTGTTCTTGGCTTTTTCAAATCAACGAAGTCCCATTAGAATGACTAACTTAAAGGACCGGTAGTGTCTTGGCTCCGGATGCAAACAGTTCTCTTAACTGTGCGACCGAGAGCGCCGTACACCGCTGTAATCGGTCGCACTTACTCTGTTCGCGGCTGGACCACTGGCCGAGAATGCGGCCAAGGTGAGGGGTATATATAGCCGCGCTGATAACGACGACAGTTGCCTCTTTGGTTTTTCTTTACTGATTTGCCATTTATCTTGCTTGGCCTCCTCTATAGATGCTTCAGCAGAAGAAATTGTTGTATGTGAAAGGTTAAGCGTTAGAAGATTTTGGGTGGACGCGCGACAGCGCAAATAACTTCTTTGGATTGTGGATGAACAACACCGCGGGAGTGAGGTTGAGGATGCACCGTTTCGTACGGACTTGGCGGTTTAAATCAAATTTGGTGGAGGGTCCCATCTTATATGGTGTGAGCTTACAGAGCATCGAGAGGACAAAAGGACGCAGCTCTTACAGCATTTTAGTTACGTATATAGTTTTGTACTTTATAGACAAACTTGTATCTAGAGATTGAGTAGGGTGCCTGCAGCGGGTAAAGGTGCGAACAGTCCATCGGTGGCGAATGCGCAAGTTCCTAGTTTTTAGGGTCTTGTATGGCTCAAGCCCTCCTCTAGGGGTACTGAGCCTTCCGAGCCGCGCTGGATGAAAATTAGACTAACGCCCTTACAGTTTAGAAAAAAAGAGGTAAAATTCTGTAGTATCAATGATTCCAAATGCAAAGCGAAAAACGACTTATTCTTTTCGTTGCTAAGCAACAAATGATATAAGCCTAAAGCTCTCTGTGCCAATTATTAGGAATGCTGAATATCACAGATTTGAAGATCTTAGCATTTCAAGCAAAAAAAGAATTCAAACCAAAAGGATCAAAACGGCTCTTTTTGAGAACTAAAGAAAGCTGAGGAGCTGAGGACGTTATATTTGTTTTTTTTTTCAGCTTAGATGGTTTCAAAGAAGCTCAGAGTTATTGCGTAGGTTGAGAACGAATGGCAAAGGCGATGCGATTACGGTATGTGCTCAAAAAGGAAGCAGCAGAGCCTGCAAAGAATAACAAAACAATACTTAACGAGTAAGTGAGCACATGAGCCACACATGTGCAGAGACAATAGACTGAAGAGATTGGGCCTTAGCGCGTTGCTACGGTAGTTCTCGCTTTTCGCCACCCATGGCGGCAGGCACATTAGCATCTTCAGCTGTCAATAAGTCTTATCAAAAAAGTAGTTTGTTACAGTGAGACAGTAGAACTTGCAAGGAAAGGCCTGGTGGTGGATTTCTACGTAAGGCAGGCCATATGTACTTGATCTGCTTGATCCACTTGGTCCGCTTCATCCGCTTCGCTATTGGTTAGTTCACTGAATTAACCAATGATGAAGCGGATCAAGCGGATCAAGTGGATCAAGCGGAGCAAGTATAGCGCGTGCCTAAGGGGAAAAGCAAGGAGCAGAGAAAGATTGAAAAGAGCAACCGAGGACTGAAACACTCAGCAATTTGCAAGCCGCAATTTTTACAATAAATAGCTAGTTCTGCGGTGATTTCATATAACATCAGGTACTTCCTCTTTTTCCAAATTGAAGTCAACAGAGCGAGCAAAGTTCAACGCCTCATTATAATCCCATACATGCAGGTGCATAAGCAATCATACGCCTATTTGGGTGTTCACACTGATGATGTCATTTTCTGGGTCGTCATATTCACAGAATGAGGTTTCTTGCCGAAGGATCCACGTGATAGCAGTTAAGAAGCTGACCAGTTATGAGTTGAGAAACGACGCTCCTTACGAGCGCGAACGGCCGGAGAGGGGGGGGGGGTAAATTGGTGGATTTTAACATTTTGTCTACCTTTCTACTGTGATTACTGTAGGACTGAACGTGTAATTTTGCGTACTATGCATCACTGTTTGTTTGTCTCGCTGAAGGGATGCACTAATTGTGGGAAACTCTCACTGGGACAATGAGAAATCCGGTAACTGTGATTGCGTGCTGGGAGAATACTTTATGATTGCACGTTTCTTGTCTCACATCGTTCAGGAATGGATAAGAAGATGTACAGAATGGATGCTAGTTAAATCTGACTTCTTCTTCATTGACTGACCTGACCACATCAGAAGAACTTTGTAAGTTATATAGGGTGTCCCAAAAGTAAGTACACACTTTTCAATCGTTAACATCTCTCTTCCCATTGTGTCTTTTTCCGCCATTGAAGTATCTTTCTCTAGAGGAGGCTTCAACTTCGATTTACAGTATCGAGCAAATCACCGTTCACTCTTCATTACTGTAGGATTACTGTAGGAACCTCCACAGGGATTTTAGGCCGTTGCAAGCCATATTCTGCCTCGGAACAAAACCAAACAAGCCAAAAACTCTTATACTATGGTAACGGAAGCCATTGATTTCGAATATGAAATTTCCACTTCACTGTGATGCTTTTTTCCAAAGTTATCCCAAGTAAACCGTAATATCTGAATTCCCAGCATTTGCCAGAAATGTGATTGCACTGTCAAAAAAGCTGAAAGCACTTGTAAAAAGTTGTGTAGCGGAATCAGCATGCGCGAAAACCCTATTACACGATTTTCCGAATTATTAAAAAAATAATTCTGTCAGATGGCATATTTCACAATGGTTCCACATGCTGGAAGTTTTTGCCGTAATCCTACAATAACGAAGACCGATCGGTGAATCGATCGATAATACTAGTTTAAGTTGAAGCCTCTTCTACAGAATGGTATTCTGCGTCTTCCATCGCCTGCCGCCGATGGAAGACGCATAGTCGTGGTGGGATCTTACGTCTTGAATGTGTTAGAGATACGCACTCTAATTAGATTTATCCCTCGGTGGGTGAGGATCCTCCAATCGGGAGTCGGTCAAGAGGCGCGATTTCTCCGGCTGTCACCAGCTCAAAACTCCTGTTTTGTGCTATGCGAGTCTTCAAAAGATACCAGATAAAATGTATTAGCTTACTATCTGTCTGAGGTTACGACTTGCTGAGTTTGGTGGCTTTTGCTGGAAAACGGACCGAAATATTTACAAATTTGTTATTAATTGCATTTTCATCGGTTTTTGACCTTTAAAATTACTGTTTTGAATTGATTCAAAGGTATTAAGATTGAACAACCTATGCAGTTATCTCTTATATCTCTTTCTAATTTTTGAATACTTCTAGAAAGTTATAAAACGCTTATTATGCGCTATTTGGTGTCCATCTGGCAATAAAAGTCGCGCCTCTTGACATACACCCCCTCCAATCGTGGCGTAGCTCTCCCAACTTCTAAAGCGTTTATTTCTGCTTCCGATTCCACCATATGTGACTGCTTTGATCTGGTGGGTATTCCAGGCCGGCTACTTTTGCGCGACAGTGAATTCGCAGAACCCTCAACCTAGTCAGGACATTGGCTTTAATGTCAGTTTACCGGGCTGACCGTGAGTTGAAGGAGGTAGGCCGTAAGTTGAACTGACGATTAAGAAGCTGAGAATCAAACATTCGGAAAAACAAAATTTGTTATTGACCTGTACTTTGCTTGTGGATTACAAAACGCGTAATTTGACGTAATGCCACGGACGACAAGTGCGAAAAACTGCACAATTTCGAGGGCCGAAAGGGCAAAATCTAGTAAAAGCTTTTCTACTCTATTTATTTTTCAACAATTGTTAATTTTTGCATCGAAATCCTTAAGATGTTGTCTCCAATCCTGCACAAAAGGTAAAGTTCCTTTATTGAGAAGGCGCAGGTTCATGATGTCCACAAGGTCCGTTGAGATCGTCTGAGGACGATGGCATTGCTGATACCATGCTGAGGCAGCGTAAGTTCAACATTGCAATGAAGGGGCTTTACTACGGGCCCAGTTCTCGAAAAAAAGCAAATCAAAGAGTAGTCTAATCAGTTTACTTAAATATCAATTTTTGCTCATAAATTGCAAAAGCCATTTTGTCTACAACTTCACACATTCACAATGTAGAGTTACGCAAATTTCCAACATTTCGAATTCGAAAAATGCGTATCTAGCTAACCTACTGTGGAGATAAGGGGGAGGGAGGAAGAGTGAGGAGCATGAGAAAGAGGAGGAAAAGGTTCGTTTCTATAAAGCGCGTCTTCTAAAACTTCGTCAACATATTGTCGGTATAGGATGAAGGCAAATAGAGATTACAATTTATTTCGCAGCCTCTTACCTAGCATGCAATGAAAGCAAATTCGGTTGTGAAAAATTACTTTTCATCTCGAGACTCTTACAAGATTTATTTTCAAGGTGAAATTTTTATGCAAATATTTTTTATCTTTTTCATATTTATCATTATGGACCTAATTTTGTAATTTTTCTTCCAACATCAATATTCATAGATATCTCTCCCCTATACGTCTCAATTTCTTGACCTTGTTAGACAAGTCTTCTAGTTGTCCACATTGGCCAAGTAAAATTGCTACAACCGCATATGTTTTTCATTAAATCACTGACATACTCACGTTTGCGTAGGTTCGCTCAGATGAGGTTTTCGAGCTCCTTTTATCTTGCTTCGGCCCGCTCGGTGATCGAACAGGTGACGGTACCTTTAATTCGTACGCTCGTGGAGAAGGGGACGAAAGCGATGCGGATCGAGAGGAACGCCTAAAAACAGAACTTTTTTGATTATTCATTTTTGGATAGGAGTGTCTGAACTAGAAACTGAGTTATGGTTATGTTAGTTATGGTTATGGTCAAACAAGACGCGGCTTATGGAAGCAAGTCAATAAAGTAGGTCAGTTCAATAAAGTTGATTATGTCAAGGTAATTCTAACAAGTTAACATTGGAATCATTTTTCATATTTAGTGTGAATAGTGCAAGTTCGGATCATTTTTCACATCTGGTCTGAATAGTGCAAGTTTACTATGAGTGCAGTAATGAAAGCATACTGTAGCCTGTGTTCAGTGATCATAAACTGTAGGCTGAGACATAATTTGCAGTGTATAATAAAACGCTCGCATTAGTGTTTATCATTGATGGAAAAATGTGGTCGTCACCATATACTGTCGGAATGTATGAAATATTTTTGCTCAAGAAAATTCTTAGACGAAAACAACTGAAAGTAGATAGAGTCTACACCGTTCAAGTAGATATCAGCTGCTTCGGTTGTCTACAAACCGCAGCTGAGTCGGTGAGAGCTGTGTACGATACCGCATAGAGCAGCAAATCGCTCGTTTTGAATGCGGAATATAGAAGGTCGAACAAAGCTTTCACTTCTAGTTACCTTTGAAAAATCCGTAGTTTTCTGTCTTTTGTAAAATTAATACAACATCTTTGGAGTACAATTTCTGGTTTAGTGCGTTTCCTTCTGGTAAGTTCACGATCAAGCGCATTTTGAGATATGATTATGAGCAACTTATTTTCATATCTCACAGACTACTTTTGAGATACAAAATGACTCAAAAACGAATCTCATTAGATTTTGTCTTATTCGTAAAGAAATTTAGCATTCTGAAGCAAAACTTTGCTGAATGAATCTGATTATCAAAAACAGCATATTGATATGAATTGATTCAAAGCACTGCGCTATTCGATGTGATCAGTATCTGCATCATCAGCAATCAGTATAATGCTTACTAATTTCACCAGTCTAAGTTAGCGCAGCCTGTACAGCAAGTAGACTGAGATGGTGAATACCAACCAATATGAAATGAACAATACTGGAGCTAACTCTCATTATGTACTTGAGACGTTGCTGAGGCGACGGCTGTGAAAACGAGATTTTCTTACACATAAAAAGGTAATGTGAATGGCAAAGTGGATTTGGTTTGGTTGAAACAACAAATGAGAAAAGTGTACATTCAGCAACAATCATGCTACAGTGCGTGACATCCGAGAAATTCAACATTTTCAGTTTCCAAAGTACCACAAAATATTTTTGTTGGTAGCACCCTTCCCTCTAAAGGCAGGTATCGCCCTCAGCCCCAACTTCGAAGTGATTGGTGAGAACGCCAATACTGCCCAACATTTTCATGAATTCCTAGTTTGGGGGGTTATAAGACGTTATGAGTATAAGTAACTAGATGGCTTACCCGGCTCCGCCCGGCCCTGTCATTATTTTATTCGTAATCAGCATGCTCGATTACCCCCCTGTACCAACTCCCAGCCCCGTAGCTCAAATTTTGCAAAAAATCGATAAAATCGATATCGATCGATGACGAAAAGTAGCCTATGACACCCGCCGGGGCCCGAAGTGTATGTGTGCCAAGTTTGGTCCGGATCGGTTCAGAAGTGGAATTTTCTATTCGGAACATACGTACACACAGACATACAGACAGATATACAGACAGACAAACAGACATTCAGCTTTATATATAAGATAGAAGATTCATAACTCCTCTAAATAAAAATGCCAAAGAAAGCAGGTGGTGTGCAGGCGAGCTCACAATTTTTTCCCGCCGAAATTTGTGTGATCATATTGCTGACAGTCTAAAGGGTGCAGGAAGAAGTGTGCTCCTTGTGTGAGACGTTAGCACACCATTTCCTCATCATGTCACAGGTGCTGAAGTCGCTGCGCCAAGGCGGCAGTCACACAGCCTAACCTTTAATTCAACTGGCTTGGCACCATTAGGGCGGGGTTTTGTAGTCTAATTGAGGCCGCTCGCGCCCGCGACGCACCTGCGTCTCTTTCGCGCGAGTGCTCTCTGATCATTACCTAGCCTTAATTAGGTCACGAAGCCTCGCCTTTGCCGATGCCAAGCCAGTTAAATCAAATGGTACGTCTCTGCAAACTTCTGGAACTTTTACTTTTGCAAAAAAAGACTACTTTCTTTATTAGTTGACCAGTGCGTCACCTCCGCTTTGCGGAGGTTTGCACTGGCTCTCCTATCCGTTTGCCTTTCTCATGTTCGCATAATGATGACTTTGAGACCGTCACAATGAGGATTTCGTGACAGCGGCATGGCCTTGAGTCTCATTCCAAGGAGTACGGTTAGCGGCTATGCAGCATATATCATTCGGTTCCAAAGTACTAAGTTCTTCAAAAATAACACAGCTCGCACTACAGCTTATCTCTGCAAATTTACTGAATGCCGCAAAGAGTTGATTAGAACATATCTGCGTCAAGCCTACAAAAACTAAGAAACGTATATTAATTGAGGTGTTCCGAAATGTCAAGAGAGTAAAAGCAACCTGCTTGACTCCGAGCCTGTTTCCAAGGCGGTTGAAAATGGCAAAAGGTGTAAATCCTCTGGTTTTTGGACTACTATGTAAAACAAGGGTCATGCCCATACTAAGCACTCATGCTCACAAAACAAGATTCGAAAATGTATGTGTAAGGAACTCAGGGATTCGCGCCGTGCGAGCGATCCTCCTATAAGGGCTAGCGTACAAGCGGTCGACATAAGCCTAAGGCCCCGGACAGACTTCACGCGACTTAATCGTCGCGATCTAATCGCCAAGATTTCCATTCATTTTCATTTCACATTCACAAATTTCGGGCTGGAAAAATATCACAACCGAATGCAAGTTGATCGGCATGGAATGATGTTGTAACAGTTGTCTCGTCGCGACTCAGTCGCGACGATCAAATCGCGTGAAGTCTGCCCGGGGCCTAAAACCTCCAGGCGTGCGGCAAACAGCTGAAGCGCCGTCCTAGCGGCAGGCAATGTTACCGTGCAAACGGCATGCAATACATGTTCGAGCGAGCGGCCAGCAATGCGTCCGTCTTATCGGTCGGCAATACATGTTGTCGTGCAAGCGAGCGTAAACGGTACGACGCAGTGTTTAGGCTGGCTAAGCGTTGACACATCGTGTTATCAACATTTTCTTTTACCACCAAGGCTGGAATGAACCTGCGTGAGGCTACAGTTATCAAGAGTGATGGTGAGGGCTTCCCCATGAAAAGTTTGGCAATGCTGCAAGCATCGACCCATGTTCCCAAAATGTGTAAAGGATTGATCTATCCAAGAAAAATGGTCAAGATATCGCAAATACATCTACTCCAAGAGCAAGCGAGCGACCGACTTTCTCCGCGCAAGCGGCGAATATTATAGACCGTGCGAGCGCCCCACGTTAACCGTGCCAACGGCCCTTGACGAGCGTACCATCGCACACACCGACGAGCGATTGTAAGGTCGTCGCTGGCCGCCCCACGGCGCGAATCCCTGAGAAGGATGATTGCTTCTTAGCGTTTTGGTGCGATAGTTCAGGTGATGGATAAGTCATCTGATCTGCACTTCATTGCATCTATAGGATCAGTTTGAGCCATTCGCTGGCTATTCTCTCAAAACTGTGATTACCTATTGCCAATCATTCTTAGTACCATCCAGATAGATCAGTGTGGAGAGTAAAGCAGAATATTATGAATCAGTGCGTCACCTCTGCTTCGCAGAGGTTCGCACTGGCTCTACTATCTATGTGCCTTACTCATTCTCGTAAAATCGTGGCACTGGAACTCACCGCGCTATGGCGACTACCACGAATAAAATGTAAACAACCACTCATTTAGAAAGTCTTTTCACGTGAGATCGGTGATTTTGCGTGGATGAAACTTTTCGCAGGAAGACAAACGCAAATTTGAATAGGTTTTTGGATTTGTCATGACCTGGTAGTCGCCATAAAGGTAATGGTAACCGTGAGCTACTTCTCTGTGCGAAAATCTTCTCAAACGCTTAGCTAGAACCTTGGCAAATTGACCATTTACACAACCAATTCGTTTTGGCGCCGTTTTCGTTATGTAGTAAACTTTCGACCACTTTTCTGGCTAAACTCCATCGCTTGCACATTTGCTTACCAAACTCATTCACGACTCTGCAAAAAGTGGTGATACGCACCGAATTTTGCGGTACAGAATCCAGGTGGACCCGTTTGGCGCGCAATTTCTGAGGGATCCACTCAACGAATCTATTCGTACTTTTGCATGTTGGACTTTCATGAAGGTAGCATGCGCCATGCAAAATTTGGGCTCAAGACATTAGCTGGAACACGCTCCACGAATTTCGTAACAGACACACACAGACAAAGTCACATAAACACCCTTAGCCTGTTATTATAAGTCATGATAGTAGTGGCCTGTGATGAAACCTACAGATCTCATCGGTCTGAGAGGTCTAACAAAGTGTTATAGGCCTCGGCATTGTCAGAGCGAATGCTATGAAATGAGTGTATGACGACTGACAAGACATAGGAACAGAAGCAGAAGAGAAGTCACATATTTTGAACAACAGCCTACTGGGGAAAATGTTGCCATTTTTCGTTCGAGGTTTTCATGTAAGGGTGAAACACTCACCCAGGCACATGCAGTTCGTTGTTGTCCTCTTCGGAAGACGTCAAGTCATAGAATTCCAGCGATCTTACAACCATGTTCTTGTGGGTTAGAAGAGTATCAGTCTCTATCGTTGCTTGCACAGCGTCCTTCTCAGATTAATGTAGAGGCTGCTGTGGTAGACGAGCAAGAGATAAACGACGATTTTACTGTCGGGCGTGGTTTGTGCGCCTGTAGTGAAGAAGAGCGTGTGACGATGTGATACACGGCAACGTCTCATTAGCCCTAGCGGCAATCTCATCACCCGAGAATAACTGATGACGTCTGCCGCCTATTAACATCTAACAATAGCTCCATCGTTGATATTACGAACCACGGCACATCAGTAGCACACATCTCGTTCAATCGGGGACATCTCTGATGTGATAGACGGATCGAATGACGGCGGCCGTACTGCTTATGACGTTGATAAAGATATGATTACTCACAGATGACCAGAGGTAATCAGCATAGAAAATCAAACCAATTAGCCGCAAAGATTCAGGTAAAAAGAGGAATAAAAAAAAGGAAATGGTTTAACCGACGAAGGCAACAAGGTTAAACCTCACTAACCTCATATAGGCTGCATGTTTCTCTTTAGCTTGGATTTAAATACAGCAAACGTTGCATGTGCAAAAAGCGTCTACAACCTCTCATGAGACAATGGTATTTTGCAATTTTCAGTGTCAGAGGTGCCTCGTGACTGGTATTTCGTTCTTCCAAACCGTAATCAAAACTGGCACTGGTTCAAATATAATTAGTGCTTATGTTCCGGCAGACTGAATTGGCAAAAACTCTAGAGGATGATACGATCTGCAGCTTACGCTGCCATGCACCTTATACAATTGAACACGGGAATATCAAGAATGTGTTGTTCTCGAGATGACTCCATCACAATTCCGCAGTCAATCATTTTTCTCATAAAAATAGTTTCCCTTATGAAAACGAGCGTTGACTGATTAGCTGAGTACTTCCCACTTGCACATGTAAAGCAGAAAGTTGGTTCCCTCGCGTATGTTTGCTATCTATAAATTCCTCTGCGCGTCCGATGAGACTAGAATTCACTAAAAAACATGCTTTTACAATTTGCGACGACTCGCTGGATCCTTCCATCGGCTTACTGGATTCCGTCGCTATCAATGGAAACGAATCATCAAGTGCTATCAAACACCAACAACTTCGTGAAAACTAGTAGTAGACAGCCAATTTGCGGTGAGGTGGTTGCGAATAGTTACAGAAACCTTGCGGCGCCAGGGATGCGGGAGAATGGAGGGTGCAGTGGGAGATGGAGATAAATTGTTGTTAAGAGGACTTGGCTAGAAGAAAGATGAGTATTGATATGTTAGCTACAGAACAAGTTCAGACCCACATGGTGGAACTGATTCCCCCGGCTAGCTAATAATACAACAGCAGGAGACCATTTGTCACTGTAGACATTGTGCGTACCCATTCATTTTGGAGTTTTCGGCATGAATCCAGAACGCTTCCAAAAAAAGCGCTAGAAAAATTTGTGTCGCAGCGTGATACTTGCATGACTGTTCGACGAACACAACAGGAAAAACTAACTAACTCAGAGCAAGGTTAACTCTATCCTGACACTTCATACAAATATTTACTCGCATCTAGTAGTTTTATGAAAAACGATCAACGAGTATTGTAGCATTCAGTATTAGATTGTTGTTATAGTATTTAGTTTCGACTTAGTTTTATGTTCAAACTAGCTGGCTTACCCGGCTCCGCCGTATCCGGACCAAACTTGGCACACATACACTTCGGGCCCCGGCGGGTGTCACAGTCCACTTTTCGTCATCGATCGATATCTATTTTATCGATTTTTATCGATTTTTTTGCTGAGTTCACCCACGGGGCTAGGAGTTGGCACAGGGGGGGAAGTGAGCATGGGGATCCCGAATACAACATTAGTTTTCAGGATCGTCCATTACTTTTATCGATTTTATCGATTTTTTTTGTAAAGTTTGACCTGCGGGGCTGGGAGTTTGCACAGGGGGGTAATCGAGCATGCTGATTACGAACACAATATTAGTTTTCAGGATCGTCCATTACTTTTATCGATTTTATCGATTTTTTTTGTAAAGTTTGACCTGCGGGGCTGGGAGTTTGCACAGGGGGGTAATCGAGCATGCAGATTACGAACACAATATTAGTTTTCAGGATCGTCCATTACTTTTTCGATTTTATCGATTTTTTGAAAATTTGAGCTAGAGGGCTGGAATTTGGCACAGGAGTGTAATCGAACATGCTGATCACCCCCCTTGGGGATGATCAGCATGCTCGATTACCCCCCTGTGCCAACTCCCAGCCCCTAGCTCAAACTTTGCAAAAAAATCGATAAAATAGATAATAGTAATCGATAATCCCAAAAACCAATATTGTATTCGGAATCCCCATGCTCGATTACCCCCCTGTGCGAACTCCCAGCCCCGTAGCTCAAACTTTGCAAAAAAATCGATAAAATCGATAAAAGTAATCGATAATCCTGAAAACCAATATTGTATTCGGAATCCCCATGCTCGATTACCCCCCTGTGCCAACTCCCAGCCCCGTAGCTCAAACTTTGCAAAAAAAATCGATAAAATCGATAAAAGTAATCGATAATCCTGAAAACCAATATTGTATTCGGAATCCCCATGCTCGATTACCCCCCTGTGCCAACTCCCAGCCCCGTGGGTGAACTCAGCAAAAAAATCGATAAAAATCGATAAAATCGATTTCGATCGATGACGAAAAGTAGCCTATGACACCCGCCGGGGCCCGTAGTGTATGTGTGCCAAGTTTGGTCCGGATCGGTTCAGAAATGGAATTTTCTATTCGGAACATACGTACACACATACATACAGACAGACAGACATACAGACAAACAGACATTCAGCTTTATATATAAGATTCGAAGTACATGAAACACTGAGTTCGCGAGAAAAAGAATTCTAGCTTTGGTAACAAGTGAATGCGACGAGGAATAATGGTTGCGCATTCCACTCCGACAAGTGCCAAAACAGATGAACCACTTTATGATAACACGCATTGAACCCTAAAAGAGTAGCACAAGCCCGGTATAAAACGAACTGCGCAAAAGTAGAACTTACACGGCACAATTGCACACATGAAAATAAACTCACGCTGTAAGATTGGATGCTGCACAAATATGCTAGAGATGTATTATAAAAATTAGTGTTAGAAGCTTAATCGTTGATTATACTACTGTGACAGTGAAAGAATAGAAGTATAAAGTGAATTTAGCACGTACTTAGGCATTCTGTGATGTGAGCTTGCACAGCGCACGCGTAACTGACGCCTTTATCCCCAGGGTTAGTTTAACCCCCAGGGTTCATTGCCCGTATTCATCAACCATAGGGTTCGTTGATGAATACGGCCACAGGTTCGTTGATCGATACGGGTGGATTGCGTTTGGTGGCAAACCCTACCCTATGGTTGATGAATACGGCCAATGAACCCTGAGGGTTAAACTAACCCTGGGGATAAATCTAACCCTCAGGGTTCATTGATGAATACGGCCACAGTTTGACTGTCGCTACCCTCTGCCATCAAACCTGCTGAGCAAAATCATATGCGTTCTATCTAAATTTTAAAAATTCATTTAAAGAAACCACACTTTAAAAGCAGAGTTAATGTTTCTTGCTTGAGATAAGTTGAAGCGTTTTGAAGAGTTTAGTAAATGTAAGGCACACTTGAATAGGTGTAGGAGAACTACTGAACACTACAAACCCAAGTAGGCCATCTTAGGCCATCGTACGTCAATCTTTTGGCATATTCCAGTGTGTTGCTTCATTGGAGGTTATGTGATGCAAAATGGAAATCGCAAAAAAAAAAAAACAGATTCCTACATAAATGAATGCACATGACAGGAAAATATTAGAGCTATCGATTCTTAAGAAAGTTGAAAAATATTTTAACCTTGATAAACAATCCTTGCTCTTGTACTTGATATCGGTTTTCCTTGAGTAATCTTCATTATCATAGAAATTAATTTTTTTAGTTTAACTATTAGGTCGTTCCGAAAGTAATGTCGCTTTTTTCAAACGTATACCATATCTCGTGGAACAAAGATGTGTAAGAGATTCTGGTAGCATTTGATGCAGCATTTCATTCCCTTTCTAATGGTTACATAATCACTGCACAACATCTAACCTCTCGAAAAATTATCAAAATCTGCGACCCATGCTTTTGAGAAGGCCAAGTTCCACAATTTTTCTAAAATTTTATAACAACCCTCAGGAGAAGTCCAAATGATGGATGGATAGAGCAAACCCTACAGGAAACAGCACAACTTTTTTCTACATTCCAGAACTCGTCACAATTTTTGTACAGATTTTTTGATGGAACCACCGAATTTTAGCAGGCTCGTCTCAGACACAAGTGCACCAAACGCCAACAAGTCTTCGGATTTTGAAACTTACAAAGATGATTATGGTTTGACAACAATTTTACAAGCCAAACGAGCATTCGCCGCTTCAGATTAGCAACTTTCGAAAATTCCGGCTACACCATGGGGCGCCTTGAAAATTTTAATTATGGTGGTTTTATTCCGGAAAATTTGATGAATCGGAAACAAAAACAACCGTTAGAAAGAGGAGAAAAAGCGGCGTCGAATGACACCTGAGTTGCTTGGCGGTTGTTGCTCGGTGAGGTTTGAGTTGACCAAATATGGAATTTGATGGAAGTGAGAAATTGATTGTAGAAACTTTAAGAAGCAAGCTAAGGAAAAGGAAAAATTGCTCTGTGTTATAAGGATTGCTCCATCTACCTGTCACTTGTACTTCTTCGCAGGATAGGTACAAAAATTTAGAAAAACAGCCGAACTTGACCATGGCAAAAAGCATGGGTCGCAGATTTTGGTAATTTTTCGAGAGCTCATTGAACATTATGCAATGAAATTAGAACCATTAGAAAGTGGATGAAATGATGCATCAAATGCTTCGAAAACTTCTTGAAAATTTTGATTCCACAAATAGTGGCTTTCATTCGAAGAAAGCGACATTACTTTCGGAACGTCCTAATATTTTCTATTAATAAACCGTAC